AATGGAGAGCCACTTTAAAGTGCCCCACCACTTCTGGAGCTTCGCCGGGGTGACCTCCAGCGTGACCGCCTGGTTCATGAGGTGCCGTACGTCCCCGGCCGTCCAGGGGAGGTTCTGGAAGCCGATCTTGCGCATGCCCTCATAGGCCAAGCAATGTGCTCGGATGGTCCGGAAACGGGCATCTCCGAACAGGTGGCCAAACTCCTCCAGCTCCTTGGCCCCCATCACCTGGTGCATGTAGGGGATCTGGTGGCGGAAGGGAATGAAGTAGCCCAGGAGGCGTTCCAGCCACCTGGCCCTCAAGTGCTGTTCCAACGCTCGTTGGGATGTCGGCAGTTGGGTTTTGATCTTCCCTGGTTTCCAATGCCGCCACTTGTTGGCCACTGCCAGGACATCCGGGGCCTCAATCGATCCGGAGAGGATCCACTCCTCACGGTCCCGGATGGCCTGTTCCATTTCCAGTGGAGAATAGGTGTACGATTGTCTAGCGCCTGCCGCACGAAACAGAAGTTGCTGCAGGGTCTTAGTAGCGAGCTCCAAATCCGCCTCCTCCAGCGGTTGTGGTTGGGAGCCGAGTATCCTTGCGAGGATCAAGTTGTAGGTGTCCGAGGCCACCAGGACATGGTTATCGTCGGGTGCCATCCCCACGATTCGTGTCCACGGTCGCGGGTCGAAGACCACCGCATCCGGGTTGGCAACCTGGTCCTTTTTGACCCATTCCAGGCAGCACGCCACGAGGGTTTCCCCGTCCGACTGCACTGGTGCAAATCCAAGGTCATGCAAAATCAACTGGACCGCAGTTGGGACCCCTAGGAAGGTCGTTCCAAACGGGGAAGGGAGGCGGGGCCTCCACATCATCAAGATCCACTCGAGCCCGGAGCCAAATCTCTAAGCGCCAACCCCAACCCAACAACAGGGGGGGCCCCAAAACCCCGGAAAGCCAAACCCGAAAACGGGGGGGGGGGACCCGAAGAGCCTCCACGGAAAGGGAAAAACCAAACGAGGGGGGGGAGCCCAGGCGCACTCCGGACCAGCCCAAGCGCGCCCATTTTTCTCGCCTGGTACAGGTCAAGGCCTGTGCTGTGCCCGGGGGGGATATCAGCGCCATCGGCAGCTGTCCTCCCCCGGGGTGCCCTGCGAGTCCGTTCCGGATGGCCGCAGTGCTGCATGATCACACGGCCCCCTTGGCAATGTCGTCAATGCGCTTGAGCGCCGCCGCCTCCGGGTTCCGGAGAATCAGCTCCCAGATGGCATCTGAAACATGGCCGGTCTGGGTGACGTGGCTGAACCTAAACCGTGGGACTTTCTGGTCCACCACGGAGACATCCCGCAGCGGGGCAGACGGCTCTACCCGGCGGTAGAACTCCAGCCGTTCCTTGACCCAGCGGTTGTACAGTCCATCGGGCGGCTCGTCCAGCACCAGCTGAAGGATGGCCTTGCCGGCCCGGATCTGGAGGAGGCGAGTGCCCCCTCCCCCGGCGCGCCAGTACCCCTTGCAGTACTTGCACATATAGCCCCCCCGGGTCTCCCCCTTCGTCTTGGGGATGAGCTCCCATGGGGTGACTGAGCTCAGAACCAGGCCGCGCTCCATGTGCGCCCAGAAGACATGCTTCGTCTCTGCCGAGAAGTTCTTCTTCTTGTAATCCTTGCCCACCACGCCGTGGACGTTGTCCGATGTGATGGGGGGGTAGACGATCCCCTCATCGCCCTCTCCTCCCCTGGGGCGGATGTCAGGGCCATCGGCACCTGTCCGGCACCCGGGGGCGGAGGGGTCCAGGCCCATCAGCTTGATCATGTCGTTGGTGTAGCCCAGCTTGCGGTAGATGGAGGGGGCCACTGAGTCGGGGACTGCGCCGACCCACCACTGCTTCGTGTTGCAGCGCCAGTTGACTTTCACCTCCGCCAGGGCCCCCGGGCCTCCAATGCGGTCCATGAAGGCCTGGTACACCTCTGCGAACTGCTGGAGACTCTCCACCGGGACCGATATGCGCTCATCACATACCGCCCGGAGGATCATCTGTTCCTTGGAGTCCGCCACGTCCTGGACCGGGAGCTGCATTACCTCCGCCGGGGTGTCCGTGAGGAAGGCCCGGGCCGCAAGGACCTTGCCCATGGCCCGGTAGACCAGGCGCCACTCCGGTCCTGTCTGCGGAAGCGGAAGGCCCTCCTCCTTCAGGAAGCACCGAGCATCTTCCTTCAGGGTCTCCCAGCCTTCCAGGCGGATCTGATTCTGGGCCTTGTTCTTCGGGCCCCGCTGTCTAGGGCCCTGAAGCAATGGCAGAGACTCCCAGACTCCCCAGAGCTGGCGCAGAGTGAAGCTGTGACCAAACATCCCCAGCAAGCCTGGGAGTGTCCAGGACGAGATCTGGCGCGCCCAGTGGAAGTCCTCCTCCGGATCGTGGGGGGCCGCCCAGAAGATGGATCGCAGGTCCTCGGGGTATGGTCGGTCCCCCGCCTTGGCCTGCTGGTTCAGCTCCTCAACGGAGTACCTGGCCCATGGGAGTCCACCCGCCTGGTGGTTCCTGGGATGCGTACCCTTTTCCAGCGCCTCCGGATTCACCTTGGTGAGGTTGTTGGCCCAGTCCGGGACGTGTACGGGCCCCGGTCGTCGGACCCAGCGGCCCGCAAAGATGCGGACCTCTCCGACACGCTTGCTCATCATCCAGCGCAGGACCGCGAGCTGCACCTCCGGGTCCTGGGTGTCCAGGCCCCCCGGGGTGGCGGACGGCTTGTCAGGGCCCTCGGCACCTGAGCTCGTCGCACCAGAGCCCGAAGCTGGGGGGATGGTGGGCTGCCTGTCAGGGCCCTCGGCACCTGGGCGCGCCGCACCAGAGCCCCCCGCCTTTGGAATGGGGATCCCCGCCAGATCCGGCAGATCTGCCAGGAGGGCCGCCGGAAAGGGGTTCCTACCCAGCGAGATGACCGCCTTGGCTTCGAGGTAAGAGTCCGTGAGGGACGTGAGGTCGTCCATGCTGAAATCCCTCCATGCCGTGGTCGGCTCAAAGACCCCTGTCTCAATGGCAACTCGGACCTCGCTAGGCCACGCACTGAATGGAGGCTTGATGGGCTCGAGCATTCTGGTCTCGAGGGCGCCCTTCGCTTGTCTGGCCTGGTGCTTTGCCTTCGCCTCTTCCGCAGTGGTCTGGGCCTGGAGGAGCTCCGGTGTGGGCCTCCCCCAGTCCGCGCCCAGCTTATCCAGCAGTTTCTCGCGGAAAAGGTCCAAGTCCAAATTCTTGAGGAGTTGTCCCCCATCGCCTCCTCCATCGATGGCCCCTCCTTGGAGCTCGTGGAGGACCGCCGCGGATCGCTCCACCGCTGCCACCTGGTCTGCCTTCTTGGCCTCTTCCTGGGCGATGGTGGTGGCGTTGAGCCGGGTCTGGATTTTGAAGGCCTTCACTGCCGACGGGTGGAAGGCCCTGCACTCCTGGCCCTCTTCCTTGTCGCCCGGCAACGGGGGCCTTTCCCCCATTGGGGCCGTCAGGAAATCCTCGTCCAGCTCCATGGGGCAGTTCCTGATCACCGCCCGGACCGAGGAGGGGACAAAATCCGAGAAGCTGGCCTGGTCCAGGTTCTCGCATGCCATCGGGTCGGTGGCCAGCTCGCTGACATCCACCGAGGCGCTGAGCTTGAGGTCGCGGGCCCGGTCCGTATCAGGGCCATCGGCACCTGCGGACCGGGCCGCCGTCCAGACCGCATTGCCCTGGTCATCCACTGTCAGCTGCCAGTGCGTGCCCGCCATTTCCAGGGTGGCCAAGTTGGACGCCGTGTCGATGGGCTCCGTCTTTTTGCCGCACCCCATACACTTCCTGGCGCCCTTCTTCACCCAGGGCATGGTGCAGCAGGGGCAGATCCAGGATGTGGGCTCCTTACCCAGGGGGCGGTTCTCCAGGCCCCCATACCCCAGGCCAGCGCGCTTGCCAACCTTCTGTCCCGGGGTGCTGAGCAGGGCCTCATGCTCATACTTCATCTTGGCGATGTAGAACGCCTCCACCACGCGCTCCAGGCCCCCCTGCTTGAGTTGGGGGCCCTCAAAGCCTCTCAGGAGCCGCTGGACATCCTTGGCCTGCAGTCGTCGGAGCCTGGCGGCCGTGGTCCCATCAAAACACGGGAAGTCGCCCGCCATCTGGTCCGCACTGAATTGGTAAAGGCCCTCAGAGACTTTGAGGGCCTTGGTGAAGACGCTTCCCCCTGGCGGGGGGGCTGCGGGGTCCTCATCCCCCTCCGAGGACACCTGCGCCCTGGCCTTTTCCATAAGGTCCTGGCGTCCCTGCCACTTGGTGTCGGACATCGGGGGGTCCACCTCATCTTCCGCCAGGGGTTCCTCCATCGGGGGCTCCTCCTCGTCTTCCGCCAGGAGTTCCTCCATGGGAACATCCGGCTCTGGAGGGTCGAGAAGCTCCAGGAACGCCCCTGGGGGGCGTGTCAGGGCCTTCGGCACCTGCGCCACCCCAGGGGGGGAGTCCGCCATCAGCTCGTCCTCGGCCTTACGCTTGGCTGGGATGAGTGGGGCTTGCTCCAGCTCGTCGGCGCTGGAGAAGAACCGTTCGTCCGGTGCCTGAGGGACCTCAGCCGCCAGGACGGTCCAACCTTCTTCCTCCTTTTTCACAAGGCTTGCCAGGTACTTCGCCATGGATGCCTTCGCCTTCGCCTTAGCCTCTGCAACCGCGGCACCAGCATAGGCGGGGGTGTACATGGCTTTGATAGGAGGGGAATGAGAAATTTCAGATTCCAAGACAGAAGGGAAGTGCCCACTTGAGCCAAAATGGTGGCCCAAGTGGACACTTACAAAGAGTCAAGACAAGCGACCACCTGCGGTTAACACTTTAGCCCAACATTTGCAAAACCCGTAACGTCTAGAAAGTCTCTGCGAACGCTTGCAATTCTGCGAATGTCCTTCATTGATTCATGCTGAACAGATCTCAACAGGAGCAGTTCATCTATCTTGCCAACAAAAAGGCAGGTGGTCCGGTGAGAGCCTGAACCACTTCTCTCCCAGGCACTAGCCGCCTGTGGCGTTGCATGCAGCGCTTGGTACCCCGGTTCTTGCGGTTCTGGGTGAGCAGCTTCGCTTTGAGCACCCTGAGAATTCCACATAGTCTGGTCGCCCGGCTCATCCTTCCACATGCCCTGGCCACCTTCGGAGTTCCATGCGCCATGGTTGTTCCATGCGCTCTGGCCACCCTGCCATTCGGCTTGCGACTCGTCCTGTGGCTCCTGCTGAGCCTGGCCTTCGCTCTGCGGCTCGGGCTGGCCGCTGTTACCCCACTGCCAGTTGCCCGCACACGGGGCCACGGCGTCCGCGGCATCCGCGGCGGGCGCAGCGCGCGGCCTAGGCGCCAAGGTAGGGGCGGCGGCGGCAAAGGCGGCGACGGCAGCGGCGAGGCCGCTCTTGGACGCCGATGGAGTGGGCCGAGGGCGTGGAGGGATGACTCTGCCTAAGTCAGAGGCTGCTCTTTTGGAGCTGACCAGGCCGAAGCAAAAAGTGTATGACTTCCATGTGATTGACATGATTTCCCTTTCAGTTCTTGGATGAGTATTCCTTCTTTGGCGGCTTTCAAACCACGAATCACATGGTACTCACGCTTCACATGTTGCAAGGTCGGAGAGGTGGAACTGAGGCAAATTATGAAGGCCCATGCTACGGCCGGTAGGAGGTTGCGCTACATATGGAGGTATAGTGCACTAGATTGGCTCGACCAGATTGCCCGGATTTTCCCAACATAGCCACCAGCATACGGAATTCCAGAAACATGGAACGCAAGTACAGGTTCAGGCGCCACCCTGAAAACCCAATGCTTCCAGTTCCCACTTTAGTAGGTATTGAGGGAAACTATGTCAAAACAAAAGGACTGAAAGTACCAGGAAACATCAAACACCCGCTTTCAGCTCTTGCAACTCTTGGAAAGACTCTCGCCAAGCATTCCAATCTGACGGGTTTTGCTTAACGCCTTCTGCAACCTCCCTCTAGTTGAGCCAGGGGAAACGGACAACTCTTGCTTTTATACGCTCCCCCTAGAGCCGTTGTCAGGGTTCACTCACTTCCTGAGTGGGTTGGCCAAAAAAGCCCGAAATCGCGTTTGCCACTAAATCGATCTTCCCAAATTTCCCCAAACGTATCAAGTCCAGAATCCCAGGGAGCGGGTTCAAGTCAGAGCCCAGGAGCTGGCCGGCGTGGCAAGCCGCGGGGGGAGCGGCTCTGCATCAAGCGCTTCATCCACCTGGAGCGGGTAGGTTGCAATGTTCAACAAGCCTTAAGAGCCTTAACCAAATGAGGTTGTTGGGTAGGGATTCGGATGTTTTGGCTTGACACCAACTCTAAAAAAGTACCCGCAAAAAACACGGCCGGTGTTTTAACAACTTGAGACACGAGCGAAGCTGGGACCCAAAAGTGGACTGTCTTGTTGGACGGCGTCCAATTCGGGGCTCTAGCGTCTGTTTTCCAAATAGCAAACACACGACAAAGCCCAACAAATGTCGACCACTGAATTAATCAAGTTGGTGGATCAGGGATATTATGAAAGTATTGATTACGCTACGGAAAAAGAAAAAACAAACAGGAGGTTGTCAAACAAACAAAGCAAGCAGGCGGTGGTCAAGCTGTTCCACTATATGTTCTTGTCCTGCGACCAGGTCAGCCCTGACAGCTGTGCAGTAGTTCACCGGAATGGGTGTTTGTAAATTCAGCCTGCGGCAGCTTTGTGCTGCATTCGGCTCTGTGGTTGCGGTGGATGTTTGTTTCTTTGTTTGCTTGTTTGCTTGCTTGTTTCTGTGTTGGTTTGTTTGCGTGTTTGCTTCTTTGCATTGTTTCTTTGCTTCTGTTTGCTTGTTTGCTTCTTGGTTGGTTGGTTTCTTTGGGGCTTGAGACGTCTCCCCCATTCTGTAGCAAAGCCGTGTCCGCTTTCGCTTGAGGATCATTCCGAATTGCCGGCGCCTCGCCGAGGATCTCCGAGGGCATGGGCTGCCAGTCGGGCTGGCACTCCGCCATCTCACTCACCGTCCTCGGCTGGGTCACCCGCCTCTCGAGACCCGAGGAACCGAATCCAAGGCATGGAACAAGATCTATCCCATGTCATGGTGCTCCTTCTCGAATCAACTAGCAACTGAACCACCTATCTATTCCGTTTTGGTGTGCGGGAAATCAAACGTTTGGTTGGCCCGCCCGAATCTCACAGGTTGACAGCCCCTCGTGGGCTCACGAACAACCATGAGCTGTTGCGAGAAGGCACGGCACGCCCTGCGCATTGATGGTGACGTTGAAGCCTCACATGCACTGATGGGAGACTGTCAGGAGTGCCCAGAAAATCAACATTGGCAAAGACATTTCGGTCCGCGACGAGGGTGCCCTTTGCAAAGCGCACCCTTATGAGCACATGGCGGTTGCTCAATATTCCTGGCCCCCAGATGACCATGGAGAACTTTTCCAAAGGAGTGGGAAGTAATTATCATCTTTTTACCGGTTTTCCTCAACCGTCTTCCCATGTAAAGGACCCAACTCTCATGAAAGCAAACCCCCTGGGCCCTGCGGTTCTCCGCAGCCCGGGTCCCAAGCGCCGCTAAAGCGGGCTGGGAAGGGGCTGTGTCGAATTGGCCAAGCAGCACACCGTCTGACCTGTGGTGAAGGTGTCGGCAAGGTCCGGCTTGACATAAGGGTCACCTGGGAAATCAAACCCATCGTATGGGGAGCAAGGCCGACCAGCTTGAAGGCCTTGAGCCTTGTGATTTGTTTAATAAGAAACGCTTTGGTGGAAATATTTTAGGTGGGGATTCATGTCCACCAACCACTTTGGAGGTGTTTCTCTGTTTAAATCACCCGGAGGGTTGGGGGGTTGCCAATGACACGTCGGGAACCACCTCTGGGAACTTGACCGTGCCGCAGCCTTGCTAGCGGGGGCGACGAATGAGCAAAAACGATTCATCAGATTTGAGCAAAGGCTGCTTGATTGATTGACAAATTGATTGATTCATTGATTGATTGATTGATTGATTGACTGACTGACTGATTGACTGACTCACTGACTGACCGACTGACTGACAGATTGCTTGATTGCTTGATTGCTTGATTGATTGGTTGATTGATTGATTGATTGATTGATTAATTGATTGATTGATTGATTGATTGATTGATTGATTGATTGATTGATTGATTGATTGATTGATTCACTGACTCACTCACTGACTGACTGACTGACTGACTGATTGATTGAGTGATTGATTGAGTGATTGATTTATTTATTGATTCACTGACTGAATGACTGATTGATCGATGGATTGATTGACTGACTGATTGATTGACTGGCTGACTGATTGATTGATTGACTGATTGATTGATTGATTGATTGATGGTTAGATTGGTTGATTCACTGACTAACTCATTGATTGACTGGTTGATTGTTTGATTGATTGATTGATTGAGTGATTGATTGATTGATTCACTGATTGATTGATTAACTGCCTGACTGGTTGATTAACTGACTGGATTGTTTGTTTGATTGACTCATTGATTGATTGGCTGACTGGCTGACTGAATGATTGATTGGCTGACTGACTGACTAATTGACTGACTATTGATTGACTGGCTGACTGGTTGATTGATTGACTGACTGACTGATTGATGGATTGATTGATTGATTGATTGACTGATGATTGACTGACTGACTGATTGACTGCTTGGTTGGTTGGTTGGTTGATTGATTGAGTGACTGATTGATTGATTGATTGATTGATTGATTGAGTGATTGAGTGATTGATTGACTGCCTGATTGATTGATTGATTGATTGATTGATTGATTGATTGATTGATTGACTGACTGGATTGATTGTTTGATTGACTCATTGACTGATTGGTTGACTGACTGACTGATTGACTGACTGACTGACTGACTGATCGATTGGTTGACTGACTGACTGACTGAGTGATTGACTGATTGGTTGACTGACTGATTGATGGACTGGCTGACTGGTTGATTGATTGACTGACTGACGGACTGACTGATTGATTGGTTGACTGACTGACTGACTGACTGAGTGATTGACTGACTGGTTGGTTGATTGACCGATTGGCTGACTGCCTGGGATAACTGGCACGGCTGGCCCCTTATGATCCGGAACGAAGATTGAACAAGCAAGACCGAAACACGTGCAATAGGAAAGCGTGTCTAGCATCCCGTGTCAAACGGACAAGCGCAAAACAACATCTGCGCTAACGGGAACTCTAGGCAAAGTCTTGTGAAATCTCAATGTGTCGGCGGCCATTTGTGTCAAAAAGCACCGATTCCTTGAAGTGGTTGCGTGTGTGGATGTGTGAAGCCCACCTGGCAAACAGGTTTGCAGCAAGCCCCCAAGAGGCCCAAGGTTATTTCGAAGCATGAATCACTGGCAAGGTCTAAAACGGCTTCAATATTATTGGCCACTATCTTTCGCAAAGGAAAGTCTTCTAGGGGTGGCAACCCGTGCAGTCAAAGAAAGGTGATGTTTAAAGCACGGCTTCTCAGAAATCTAGGGCTCAAGGTTGGGTTGTTCGTGGTTTCCGGGCTCCTGCCCTTCGGCCGACGCGTGCATTTATTTACGCCCAACACGCCACGGCGCCGGGAAAAAACCGTCTGTCCGTCCGTTCCGAGGAGCGCCCGAAGAAGTCCTTGACCTCCTCACAGGCCACGAAGCCGTAGCCCACAGTGCCGGTCCGGAACTTGCCCATCCTCGATGGCAGCGCTCCCCGAATAACCAGTGGAGCCGACGGCGGCTTGTCGACAGCGGTGAGGTGGGACCTTGAAACCTGTATGAGGACCAGCCAGTCAGCATACCCATGGGTACAGTGAGCACACGTGAAATTTCAACCTAGAAATATAGCGCCCTTACAATTGGAAAATCACCGATGATGGACAACAGCGAAGTCCAAAGGCCCCAAGGACGAAACACACATACCCAAACACAAAGGTGACAATTGGGGGTTTGGATTGGTTCGGTTTTGCTCTGTTAGGGCGACGTGTTTGAACTCCCAGGGGTGGGAGGAGCCAAGGAGCCAGCCAGCGGAGCCCCCCCACAACGGTCTTCGCCAAGCGGCAGCGCCATTCCGTCCTGGCTGCTGAGGCGCAGCATCGGCGCGCTGGCCTAGGGATTCTGCAAACCGACGAAGCTGCAACCGCGTCCAAACAACCAGGGTGACCATTTGCAAACCGCCGATTTTGGGGGTCCAAATGACATCGGCGTGTCTTTTTGTGAGGCGTCTGGATTTAAGGGGGATTTCCAACCAGGCTGCCGCGCCTGGGTGCCTTTGACCCAATCGATGAAGAAAGCCACAGTGTCACCGGGCCCTGCCAAGGTGTCCCGCAGCAGCGGCAGGCCCGCGACCACCGCCTCACAATTCCCCTTCCATTGATTGTTGGGCGCCGGTAAAAGATAGGACGCATTGCTCAATATTACGCAGCCGCAAACATTTCTTGGGCCGAACAAGCCCTACCTGCTGACCATTCATAGCCCATGAACTTCATGTGCCGCATAACGACTGCAACTGGTAGCGGCTTACTACAGATGTCAGCTAAGTTCTGGTTCGTTCCCACTTTCTCAAGAACAAATTCATTGTTCGCACATCGCTCTTGAATCCAGAGAAATCTCGTGTGCGCGCGGCATGGTGTCCCAAGACCTTGCCGATTGCAAGCGCCCAAAGCTGAGGTTCACCAGATGACAAGCTGACTGTAGATGGCAAGTTACTGGAACGCTTGACCAAATGATTGCCGTACATTGAACACATTCCGGTCGTGTTCTTTTCTCTGTCAGCAAAGTGTCAGCAAACATCCTGCAAAGTCAGCATCGGTGCACACAGTGATTGAGTTGCAAAACTTCTGTGGCTAAAACTTCTGAACAACTCGCATTGCACCGCGCAAATAACGAGCAACCCGCTCCAGCTCCTTGAGGCCTGCTTCACATGGATTGCCATTCTCCTCCCTAAGCACTTTGTAGCTTCTGCGAACTCAGGACGATCTTGAGCCAAGAACGTCGCCCTCATGATTATCGACCGATAAACGCTCAGACAGTCTGGAGCCACTGTCAGTGGGCATTGACAACTTCGCCTCGACGTTCGTGACTGTCAGCTTTTCGTTTAGGCCTGTGACTGGCTTGCATTCTCCATGTCCGACTGCTTCACTGTTGCGCAGCGTGGCGCGGATCAGGCTCATAGCTGATTGTCCCGTCGTGTTTGCAAAGAAAAATGGAAATAAAAACTGATGTTGGTGGCTTTGAACATGTGCAATACTACCACCAATGCGGAATTCGCACTTGGCCTTCAGCGTCTCCTCTATGTAGCTGTGGCCTTGCCCATCCGCCGAAACAACAAAATCGCCGCCATGCCTTTGCAAACGAATCTCGTGTTCTTGGTGGCAGAAAACTGCTGGCCATGCGCTGGGCTTCTTGAATCCACGACCGCACAGACTCCGAAGCAATCAAGCACACATACCTTCTTCACGACCTCCCTCAAGCAGTGTGACAAATATTCTTCGTTGCGCTTCCCCGGAAACATACGATGCTCTGGACACGTCGTACAACTTTAGGACCATGGGGTTCCCCTTGCGTGTCTTACGAAGAGTAGCCATCAAGGAAAACAAAAGCTTCAATGCTTCCAATGGTGGTCCTGTCATTGGTTCCAACACTGGCGCGATGTTGGACACTGACAAGGCTAAAGGCGCAAGACAGGAACAGCTTGATCCGGCGCACAAGCAGTGCATTGACACCAAGGTACCTTCGGCGCAAGCTCGTGCTGAAGGGAAAACTTCAATCACACTGAAGTGGATCGATCGGAGCAAGGGAGACCGACCCACGACCCAATTATGGAAGCAGGCTTGTGTGTCGAGAAGCCAAGAGGCCGAAAGCAGCTAACTTCAGCGCAATGCTCTTCAATTTCTTGGTCTGCGCAAGGAAGATATTCATGCCATTCCTGCTCCTCGTCGATGACAGGAGGCGCAGCAGGAACTGGTCCAACACTGAGCTGGTGCAACATTGCCTTTACCAAATTCGGAGGATAAGCTTGTGCCCCTTTTGCTCGGCTATTAAGAACATGAACTTTCCGGCGCCCAGTTTTTAAAGCGCGACGCTGCGGACATTGCTGGCGGAAAGGCCGCTAGTCAAACACACGCTGCTCCCAGCAACGCGCGTGCGCCACGATGCTGACTTGGTATATTTTCCCAAACGAGCTGGGGCGACATCTTTGTGAGTGATCTGCCGAAGATGTCCCACAATCTTGATCACTGATTGACCCACGCGCTTCAGAACCCTTGTCAAAAACGTTGGGGCCATCGAAAGGCTGAAGCAAGGCTGCCGCAAGTGTCATGAAGCGCGAAAGCGAAATTCTAACCACCCGGCGCCAGTTTCTTTGAGCTACGTCGATTTGGTGGCATTCGAACCGCAACCTTTTGACAAGCCCGCTAAAGTTCCTCCACACCGCGCAGCAAAAGGATCGGCAAGAAGTTTGCAGGTGTAACGAGTTCCTTGCCTGCTGGCAGGCTCCCTACGTCCGGCTGGCGAAGGCTTCCTGGCACCAAAGACACTGTGGGCGAAACTGTGTGGCCTAACAAGCTTGAAAAATTCCAGAGCCCCAGCGTCAAGCTGAAAATGTTTGGTCTCTGTAGCTCAAGACTAAGCGGGGCCTCAATTGCAGCTGGGGCAAGTTTTGAACGACTGCGGCCATGGGCGGCTCAATTGACATAAGAAGTGCACGCAAAGCCGCGGCTATGACGTCCCCAACTGCCTTGCAGTCTTTGTCCGCTTCGCTGGCGCCCAAGCAGGCAACCTGGCACTAAAGACTGCGAAGGGCGCGAAGAAGGGCAGCCGCACGCCGAACGACAATGGAAGCCTCCTGAGCTAAAAACGGCCCAAAAGGACGTCGCTTTTGGGCCAAGGGGAAGGGGAGTTCCCAAAGCACCGTTACACTTGGAGCCCTGTGTCAAGGCATGCTCAGCAAAGTAAACGGGCATCTCTGCGACTCTTTAAAAGCCCGGCCCCAGTGCGGCTAGCTTGCGATTGGGCTGCAAGGCGTGGGGCAGTTTAAGACTGGCTGGTTGCCACTGTCGAGAACCTTGGGGCAAACAATCGTTGCAAAAGCAATACGCCTGCCAGATTAAGGCCTTGAAGCCAAAAGCAGGAAGCCTCTTCAGAAGGGCAAACCAAGCCTGCGATCTGACAAGACCCCTGCCACAGATTGGCACGAAGGTGCTTTCTACGACTATCTTAGCGGAGACAAACAGGCACGCCTGGTAAATCACAAAAAACAGATGCTTGAAAGGCAGCATCAATCAAGATGGCAGCACTGAACAACACGCAACGCATTTAAGCTACGAGCCAGTAGACACAACATACTTGGAAGTGGGTGCGCTTGATCTATGGGCAACTGGCACGCCACCGAGACACTCAGAAACGCAGCCGGACAAAGCCGCGGCGTGAACACATCCCTCGCCATACTTTGCTCAAGTGTTCCACAGGGCAGTCAGCCATAGGACATCGAAACTCATATGCTACACACGAACTGCAACTTGTCTACATCCCTTGGACACCCATCTTTCTGAGTATTCATCAGATGCAAAAGCTTCATATGACCATTGAACGCGCTCCGCAGTGTGACAAGGTCTTGCATGTCACGCATTCGGTATGTTTGGACAACTGGTTCGTTTGCAGTCGTGGCCATGCGGTTTTCGACTTGGCAGCATTCTACCAGAAAGTGGAGAGCTTCAAGAGGACACACGCTGCAATCAACGACAATGTGGTACCTCCTGCCAAACGAGCAGTAACAGCCTTTGCACTTCCAAGCAGACTTGCACACAACTTCATCTTACTGTTTTGGATCCGATCAACCGTCGTCTGGCGATGAAAAACCAGCAGCCTGTACCCTGCGAAGGTTCCGACTAGTTGCTGCTCGTCTGCGTTGGAGGGCCGAGATGCTGCTTGCTTCGGTTGGGCGCCCTCATTCGTATCAACGAGTTTGTCAAATAGCTTCCAAAAGTCACGTTGTTTCTGTTCCACTAGTCTTTCAGTGGCTAGTCCCATTGTCTTACTTCAACGTGCCCACGATAGTCCTCCAGCGCAACGTGCTGCGAAGAATAGCATGTCACTCGGCATGTTGATTGCCTGCTTGGTGAGTCTGCCCCCCCGTAGTTGGATGCAAATTTGTCTTCCAGGGTTCTTGTGATCGGCTGGGAACAAGGAAGCTGAATCTCCCCCAAGAATATCTTCCTTGGCAGGTTTCCTTGCTTTTGAACGTTTCCAGAAGCAACATAGGCAGCTGCAGCCAGCCGCTGTCCCTCTCCCAAGCTCTTCGATCCATCCTATCACCAGGCCTTTGTGGCCTTTGTGGCCTTTGTGACTTGGAAGACGCTGCCAGGCCTGACAGTATTTTCCATCATCACCCAGAGTGAACTGTCAGCTTGCCAGAACGAACCGCGAACAGAACTTCGTTTCTCAGTAGGAAGACATCAGGAACCGGCTGGAACACCAAATTTCGCTCGATCCACCCAGCCGCTCAAAAACAGGCAGCTTGCCAATTGACAGGGTTTAGTCTTGGGTGTTCAATTTGTCTTCAAAAGGCTTGGATTCAAAACGCTGGAGCCTTGCATTATGCGCAGGGTTCATCCTCTGAGTCGCCTGGATCTTGCTTTTCATTCATTTCGCAAGATGCGCCAAGGCACAAACGCAATCCTGACAAATTGGCCCTGCGCTGCCAGACAAGTTCTTGTGTTTTGAGTCCATGGCCTGGGTTTCCACACCTACCCCAACATGAGCTTGTTTCTCCCCGCCACCCCATCTTCAAACGCGCGCTTCGGGCACAAATGCAACCCATGACATTCCAAAACTGGCCCCTTGCCATTGGACAGGGTCTAAGTAAATGGCAGCATGGGTGTTCAAGTGCGGGTTTGGCCCCCAAAAAGGAACCAACTAACGCGTAACGCGCCGAGTAGGCAGGCTAGAAGGCTGTTTGGCTTCGATCCTTCAGCATGTTCCTTCTACGTGTGTGCCACGCGAAACACTGGTGACTAAAAGGGCCTATAACCTAACCAAGAGCAGAGTCATAAGGATTGAGTGCGTGCCGGTGAGAATCAGAAACACGCAGCCCTTAACAACTATTGGCTTTGTAGTTATTTGCGGTTGATGAAGCCGCTTGTTTTTAAGCTACTTGTGATGATTGATGCTGCTATTTAAGGAGGGCCCTAGTTAATCAACGCGGATGCTCAGGGCACGCAGTACTGGCTGTTGCGTTGCCGACTTCGGTCTGTGCCCGCCCATCAGCTTCTTGGCTGATTCGGGAGGCGCCATCTCGTGGAACCTCTTTGTCGGAAGGAAACTGGCTCGACGCGCCGCTGAAAACTCTCGTCATATTCCTGTGTGGGAGAAAGTGTGACATATCCTGCTGCAGCATACACGGCTTCTTCAAGGTGTCCGGATCATCAATGGCAACCATTGAATCCAGATCCGAATGATCTGGGCAACTGAGTTAGTGAATGGCATCATTCCACGACCTTCTCCGGATACTATTAATTGAAATAATTGTATTGCGTGACACGGTTTGAGACGGTTTTGTCCAAGCTCCATTTATCGTCACCCTTATCCAGATTCGCCCTTGTCTCAAATGGTTTGCAAGGGGGTTAGGTTTGTAAGTGTCCGATCCGAGATTTGGCAAAAGACCTTATTGCAGTGTCAGACCGTGTCGGGCGCAGGGTCGACAATTTGAGTCTTTTTCCCGTTGCAATAGAACCGTGGCAAACCGTGTCACCGGACCCTACATCGCACGAGAAAACGTGCCAGACCCTTTCACAGAGCGGGTGGACAAGTTGAGCTTTTCACCTTCCGAACCCGAGCCACTCCATGCAAAAGTGTGCCAAGCCGTGTCAAACCGCGAGGTCGGCAAATTGAGTCTTTCCGCGTTGGGAGTTCGTTTCTGCCGGCGAGGGGGGCGGGGCACG